TGCCACGGAGTATAGCAAGTCGACAGCGGGAGGGGGGAGGCGGGAGGGGGGAAGAGGTAGCATCCGACTGATTTCCTGCGGCACGGGGAGCTGACGCGGGAGCGGAGGGGAGCGGGGGAGAGTAGCCATCGATCGACTCGCATGCGCCCCGCGGACCGACGGCCGGGGGAGGGGGGAATTTAGGAGGGGGGAGAGTAGCATCGACACGCGGCTGTGCGAGCGGCCCCTGTAGCGGGGGAGGCGGAGGGGGGGATGCAGTAGCGATCGACATGCCAGGAGGGGGGGTGAGGGTGTAAGGGGGGCGAGAGTAGCAGTTGCGACAGGCGCCCAGTGGGGAGGGAGGGGGGAGAGATAGCATCGACAGGCGGAGGGGGAGGGAGGGGGGAGAATGTAGCCATCGACAGGGAGGGGGAGGGAAGGGGGGAGAGTAGGCCGATGTCGACAAGCGGGAGCGGGGGGAAGGGAGGGGAGAGTAGCATTGCGACAGCGGAGGGGGAGGGAGGGGGGAGAGTAGCCATGACGACAGCGGGAGGGGGGAGGCGAGGGGGGAGAGAGCAGTCGACAAGCCGGAGGGGGGAGGGAGGGGGAGATTGTAGCCAATCGCAGCGGTAGGGGGCGGTGCAGGGGTGAGAGTAGCATCGACAGCGTGAGGCGGGAGGAGGGGGGAAGAAGTAGCATCGACTAGAGGTCGGGAGGGGGGGAGGGAGGGGGGAGAGTAGCCTCGACAGCCGGAGGGAGGAGGGAGGGGGGCAGAGTAGCATTCGATTACCGAGCACGCGGGCAGGGGGGAGGGAGGGGGGAGAGTAGCATCGGCGACGGCGGAGGGGGAGGGAGGGGGGAGAGTTAGCATCGACAGCGAGGGGGGAGGAGGGGAGAGGTAATGCAATCGGGACTTCCATGCGGAAGGGGGGAGGGCGGGGGAAGAAGGTAGCATGCGACAGCGGAGGCGGGGGGGGGGAGGGGGGAGACAGGTAGCAGTCGACTAGCGGTAAGGGGAGGGAGGGGGATGAGTAAGCATCGACGGCGGGAGGAGGGGAGGGAGGGGGGAGAGTAGGCATGCGGACAGCGGCTGAAACACAGAGAGAAAGAGACAGGATTTAGATATATAGAAACACAGACACATGAGACAGACACACTAGTACTGAAACACAGGGCAGGCCACATCCCCCGACGATGAAACTGCAATTTCTGCAAAAGCTTGCTTTTAACACACACACGATAGATAGATAGATAGATAGATAGATAGATAGATAGATAGATAGATAGATATACTGAAACACAGAGCAAGAGTCAGGGTTTAGATATATAGATATAGAGATATAGAGAGGTGGTGAGCGATCGTACGCGGCTATACTCACTGCAGTCCTAGCCGCTCCTTGCGTTTCGCCGGTGCCATGAAGAACGAGTAGAGCATACAGACTCCCTGCGATAACATGGTGATCTCCAGGTTGTACTTATCCTGAAACACAAGAACAGTGATTCTCACGGTGAGCCGAGTAAAGACGAGTGCATAGAAGCGGATAACAACGTGATCTCCAGATTGTACTTATCCTGAAACACAACACGTAGGTGGCGGTGGTTAGTTATGGTGAGCCGGGAAAAGACTCGAGTATGTACTAGCATGGTGCAGGGGGAGAAATGATGTAGTGGGGGCTGTACTAATGGTGCGTGCGCGTGTGTGTGCGTGTGAGTGCATGCATGCGTGTGTGCGAGTGGGTGCGTACATAAGCGTTTTGCGTGCGTTGATGAACAGGAAAATGTTCAAACTTCAAACGAGGTCATCCGCGGCGACACGCACGCTCACTCAGAGGTCATCAGAGGTCATCAGAGGTCGTAAGTTACCTGGAAGTAGTCGAGGAACTCCTTGAGCGTGAGTTCACCGTCGATGTCGAACCTGTCCCACAGGGAGAACTCTGTGTCGTAGTACTGCAGGAGAGAAAGCACGCACGCGCACACACACGCACGCACGCACGCACGGAGAGCGATCGTTAGACGACTAACGTAATTACGTGCTAATGTAATTGTCAATGTAATTATCAATGTAATTAATATTGTAATGATGCAACGATTGCCAGAACCACATGCTGCCTACGTTAATCTACGCACGCACGGCACGCACGCACGCACGCACACGCACACACACACGCACGCACGCACGCACGCACACACACACGCGCACGCACACACACACGCACACGCGCACGCACACACACACACACACACACGCGCACGCACGCACACGCACACGCGCCTGCACACACGCACACGTCGTAGACGCGTCTCACGTGACGTACCTTCTGTTTCGGCGCTGAGATCGGCTCAGAGAAGGCGAAGAATGGGAGAGCGAGGTTCATGAAGCCATTCTTATACAGCTCCAGCTTCTTGTGGCCCTGCGCCAGCTGCATATAACGAGCGAGGGTCGTTAGCATCATAATACAATATCACATAACACGACATAACACTACATAACATAACATAACATAACATAACATAACACAACATCACATAACATAACACGACATAACACTACATAACATAACATAACATAACACAATATCACATAACACAACACAACACAACATAACATAACATAACATAACACAATATCACATAACACGACATAACACTACATAACATAACATAACATAACACAATATCACATAACACGACATAACACTACATAACATAAC